TATATATATATATATATATTTATTAGTTTATATATAAATTAAAGTTTTAGATTTTACAAAAGCGCGTAAAAATATCGAAATAATATATTTATAACTATTTCAATGAAGATTCTCTCTCTCTCTCTTTTGTAATAATATGGTTTGTGAAAACTACAACGATTTATACAAACAACAATATTATGAAGGATGAATGTAGTACTGTAAGTGTATAATAATATCTACAAATCGTTTTCAAATTTTCGCTCGAAGCTTTGCGGTTTACTAATTCCAGGAGGCAAACACATTTGCCATTTACGTAATGTTTCTTCGTATAGTACTGTTTCTGATCGGTATATATCTATCGAGCTTAAAGCTATCCAATCCCTGACATATGTATAAACGTAACGAGAGCATTCAGTAGAAACTAGTAGTCGTGGATCTTTGAAACAGTTTCAAACTTGATATTGCTGAGGCTCTTAAGACAAGTAGTACTTTGCTGTCAGCAAATACCAATATTGACACAATGTGACAGATAATTTCGCTTTAGCTTTGCAAGGAAAAAATATTTATTGTAACAATTTTGTAGATCACATTGATAAATTTTTTATTCTATTTTTAAAAATTATTATTATTAATAGTTTATCTTCGTAAAGTTTCACTTTTTTTTAGAAGTGATATACTTATTAAAATTTACATTAACGTGCGCGATGAAAACATTTGTCATACATCCATCTATTTCAACTACTTTATATGGGAAATGCACGTTTGTCGATACGATCGTTTATCATAAAAAAAGAATAGCGTAAGTGCACCGTTACATTTACGATGTATCGTGATCTATAAATCGTTGCTGAACTTACCAATCTCTCGAGCAAAGCTCGAGTCGTATAGGGAACATTCACAAACAGTGTAGTGGAACATCTCGCTCGTTGGGGTTTGCGAGTGCTTGAAATTCAATCTTTCTAAGTGGGAGTGCGATGGGTTGGGTGAAACAAGTTGTTTTATATAGTGGGATGAGAATGGTATGCATATATCTGCATCGTTTTACGAATTTTTGAACTCGATTTAAGAATTGATTCGTGATTTTTTTTTTCAATTTATTGAGAATATATAAAATAAATTGAATAACATGTAAAAATATCGATTTTACACATTATTACGAAATTAGAATTGTGGAATCATGCCACATTACATCGCGCAAACAAATATATGAAATTAAAATTCTTATAGGCACATGTGTTTCATCGATAGACGATTTTAATGTACTCTTCTTTATCTCAAACCAAATATGCCAAATATTCTCAAGAGCATACCTTAGAATGAATTTTCCTCATGACCGATGTTTTCGGTATTTTCGTCGTAGAGGAAATTTTCCGTCTCAACAAAAGCTAATTATTCCTGATATTTATGAGGAATTATTCTAGTATTTAATGTTACAAATCTTAAATAATATAAATTATATTATAAATAAATATTATATATACATGACGAGAGTTTAGAAACATTTTAATAATTTATTAGAGTATATATATTTACATATATACACGTATATATCAGATAAATAAAACGTTTTTCCATATAATAACGAAGACGGGAAGTTGTTTATTTTGTTTGATGTTGAAAAAACTATGGAACAGCAACTTCATTAATAGTAACAAAGACGTTTCTTCTCTTACGATCAATAATGTTAATAAGACGGTCGCTACTCTCTAATGAAGGATCCATGAATTTGCTGTTCCAGCTGTTTATTCCCAGTCGCCTAGTGTCGGGCGAGTACGAAGAATGATTGACTAAAACTACTTAAAGACAGCCCATGTCTCCGTAAGCTACCATCCGTCGGCTGATGAAATAATCAATTTATGTAAAATATCTCAGCTTGCATATTTTATCGACATATTATGTATATAGTTATACTTCGAACTACTACTATTTTACTCTCATCTTAAAGTTTTGAATTCGCATATACGTATATACGATCAAAAGAAAAACTTGTATTTAAATTGGTCAATGAACTATAATATAAACTAGAATAATTCTCATAAATATCAGGAATAATTAGCTTGTGTTAAGACGGAAAATTTCCTGTGTTAAGACGACGAAAATACCGAAAATATCGGTCGTGACGTAAA